GAGAGAGGGAGCTGGCTGGACGTTTCACAACCGGGGAGTAGGTTGGACATTCTCCGCCCATTGGCCAGGTGGGAACGTTGAGGGGAGAGTAGATGGAGGGGGAGTCCTCGTCTATGTGTTTAGCTAGCTCGCTCAGAGGTGTGGGATTGTAAACAGGCAGTGACCGATCATCACTGTTGCCGGCCGAGTATTCATAGCTTTCGGAACTGCCTCCATCGACTGGCTTCCCTATTCCAAAGGAACTGCTATCGAGTAGGCTGATTGGAGTTGGTTTGTAAACGGGGTCAGGTGGTGCCGAGCCCTTCATTTCGTTCTACGTCGGCATCTTTATGGTCAAAAGGGGAAAAGATGAGCTGTAGAATTTCGAAACCGTAAAAGATCGGTCGCTATGCCTAAGTGCGATCCCGGTTGGTGGGAAACACTTGTACAGAAAATGCCGCAAAGGGCTGAAAAATGATTGTTCAAAATAAATCGAATTTTCAGGCTAAGGGAGTGTATGTTGCGGCCTGAAATAACAATCTCAGGCACCATTCTAAACAACCATTATATTAGGCAGTCTATAGAGCAGACCCTGTGCTAGTCCTCAGTCCCCACGAACTGGTAGGACTGTCATTTGTGGGTATTGGCTGCATTAAAGTCCGCTCGTCTCGGGAACAATCTTCGTGAGGACCGTTCTACCATCCGCCACCGGCAGACAAGCTAGGAATTAGCAGCTGGAAAAACGCGCAGACACATATCCAGGGCTTCACAGTGCTCATCGCGAATGTATTTAATCCGCACTACAGCGGCTTTGACGGACGTCGAAATTATTGTTCCCTCAAATTTCACAATGCCGGTAATTAGCTCGACGATCGATGACCAGGATGGCTGTGTAGGAACCTTGCATGAATGACGCACCCGCATTTAGTTTAGACCAAATGCGGGCTCAGTAGTATATCTCCCTGTCAGCACATGGCCACTTGATGGGCGGGGCTGAGTGGGGCCAGAGCCCCCCTCTGGATTGAAGCATTTTGAAGCGTATTTGTATCGAAGGTTATGTTTCAAAAGCACCACTCATCGTACCTTATTTTGCATTAAAAGCAGCTAATTTATCAAAAGTGGCTTATAAATCACGGAAACGTACCCGTTTACGCCCACTGAGCGTAGCTGAGGATAAGCTCAAAATATTGGGGTTTTGTTTATGTCGCTCACTGCGTCAACCGGTTGACAGCTTAGTCGAGCAGTGTGTTATTACTTCGTACATATGACAATCGGTCGCGGATAATATCGTGCGTCAAGCAATGCCGGTTTCATGCTCTTGATAGCTGCCGTAGTTAATTTATGTATATTATGTTAATTGTCTGTTTGTTCAAGTAGTCGACTAGTATGTCTATGTACGTACTGTTTAGCCTTGGTGTTCGTGGTCCACTTATACAAATTGTTTATCGATTTTAATGAATGTCCAAAACAATTATGAAGCGTAATTACTATGGCTATCACCGACTCACCATATACAAGTGCATTAAGCGCCAGATGAAGGCATATTATGAGGCCACTGAAGAGCCTGGGTCTGAGGTTCCCTCAACGTCGACGGCAGTTGTCGACTACAGCGCCGAATAACGTGGTACTGATTGACAACAGGACGGCCGTGTGTACTGACGTCTGTTTCGGCTAATAGAATTGAGTATCGCCCTTTTTGGATTGCACAGACTTATTTACCACATCTTTTTTCACCATCCACGTTGTTCATGTTTAAAGTATCGGTTTTAGAAAACATTCCTTCAATGGCTACCCTTTCGAACATTGTCTATAAATATGCTGCCTTCCAATCTGACGACGATTTTTACCTAATCCCCCTTTTACACACATTTACTGCACAGTGATTTCTTTTCCAAACCCTGACACTAAATGACAGGCGAAATGTAAGTGTGAGATGTACTCCGTTGTTGAGTTCATCAACCACAAGTCGGTCGCAGTCGTAGCCAAGATGTGGTTCTATGATAAGAACTGCGTCATGTGGCTGAAGAATGACAGACGGCGAAACATTCTTCTCGAAAGGAATGATCCGCCGCCGAGCGGGACGAAAGTATATCCTGTCAGGATTCTAAAAGACAACCTGACTCTGGATGCGGACCGGCGGCTGGCACATAGGGCAGAGGACACGTCGGACCTCTCCTTTTCGGAGCCCACGAAGTTGGGCCGAGGCTTTAGACCGAAGTAGGTTTCACTTGTAATTAATAATTTTTTGTAGAATTGTCCGCAGATTAACCTCCGATTCGGAGGATGATGACGATAACGAGAACATAGTGGAACGACAGCCTGTAAGGCGACTAGCTGGTTGGCCGTCGCCACCACCCATACTTCAGTAAGTAGCAGTAAGTCTGATGGTTTGTAGGCTAAGAAAACGTACCTACTTCCTCGACCGGATGGGGCAGGCTTTCACCTTCAGTAGTCCCCTCGCTTCAGTAAGCAGGTTATACTTATTATCCATTTCAGACTGCAAACGGAAAAGGATGCTTCTGTGGCGCAGAGTGACATATGTAAATCAATACACAGGGAATTGACATCTGTGCGGTAAGGACGTTCTCTACGCCGTCGGATTAGATTCGTTTATTAAAAAAATTAGACAACTTAGTCCACAATCAGACGGTCCATCATGAGGAATTTCGACAACACTGCGCCCTCAGGGTTGAAAAACTTGGGCAAATACATGCCTCCACCGTCCTTGTCGATCAAGGGCCTTCCGCACTGCGCTTGCCGCTATGCATGAAGGACGCCTACGAAGACTTCAAAGGGAAGCTAAACGATGATGCCGACTTTCGGGAAGAAGTGGTATGTAAATATGCAGCTTTATTTACTCTCCATGAGTTATAGATGAAACAACTTGTTTCAGTTGGCGGACGTAACAACAAGGAGTTCGTGAGGAACATCCTCAATAAACTGCTAGGACCACCCCTTTGCCGTGACTACTGTTGGGGTGGCTCAGTGGGAAAACAATACTTCGTTGGTAGTCCTTTATATGCACTCCTGTGTTGTAAGTTTTCCTCATTTGTTAACCGTTCAGATGCCACCTACCCTACCTTTGGTGATTGCGCCCACGAAATGGTTCGCAAGACTGTCATTGATTGGTTTCATGGATCGAGGGACCGGTATGGCGGCTGGGCTAAACGCTGGGAGGCAATTGGAGGGACTAGCGATGATACACGTTGCCCCATACTGTCTCCATCTGAAGACACCGTAATTGCCATCAATGAAATTTACATATTTAAGGTTAAATATTCATACTACTTCAGTGAACTTGATAAGTATGAAAATTGTTATTTACATTTTAAAGTATTACTTCCCTTCCGTCGACCATGTGTTTTCCCAACAACTGTTTTTCTCCAACTATAGGAACCAGCCGTCGATGCGGGGACTTCTGGAACGCTCAACTGAATGGCATAACATATGTTAAAGTCCATGTATATACTGGCACCGACATTTATTATGATTGTACATATTTTCCAATTCCTTTTTCGTTTCTACAATAAATAACTCATTCACATGAATTCGCGTCGCGTGCATCTGATATTGGGTGCCGAGTAGTGGGTACATGTACAGCGGGGTCACTGTGAGTACTATGTAATACCGTAGTACTCTACCTACGCAGGGTGGGTTTCGACCTGTAACATGTGGGAACAGTGAGACACTGCGCTTTTTTTTCGCTGGCGGGGCTATCGTGTTGAATGCCCCGCCAAGTCCCCACATAGCCCCATCTGGCCCGCCATATTTGATGGGGCTAGGCGGGACTGGTTCTGGAAGGGAGGTAACAGCCCTGCCAGCACCAGCACCAATATCATAGTACTCAGAGTGACCACGCCGTACATGTACCCACTAATCGGCACCCAATATCAAATACACGCGACGCAAATTCATGTGAATGAGTTATTTATTGTAGAAACGAAAAAGGAATTGGAAAATATGTACAATCATAATAAATGTCAGTGCCAGTATATACATGGACTTTAACATATGTTATGCCATTCAGTTGAGCGTTCCAGAAGTCCCCGCATCGACGGCTGGTTCCTATAGTTGGAGAAAAACAGTTGTTGGGAAAACGCATGGTCGACGGAAGGGAAGTAATACTTTGAAATGTAAACAACAATTTCCATACTAATCAAGTTTACTGAAGTAGTATGAATATTTAACCTTAAATATGTAAATTTCATTGATGGCAATTTCCGTGTCTTCAGATGGAGACAGTATGGGGCAACGTGTATCATCGCTAGTCCCTCCAATCGCCTCCCGGCGTTTAGTCCGGTCGCCATACCGGTCACTCGATCCATGAAACCAATCAATGACAGTCTTGCGAACCATTTCGTGGGCGCAATCACCAAAGGTAGGGTTCAGGCGAATGGCATCTGAACGGTTAACAAATGAGGAAAACTTACTACACAGGAGTGCATACAAAGAACTACCAACAAAGGATTGTTTTCCCACTGTGCCACTCCAACAGTAGTCACGGCAAAGGGGTGGGCTTAGCATTTTTTTGAGGATATTCCTCACGAATTCCTTGTTGTTACGTCCGCCAACTGAAACAAGTTGTTTCATCTATAACTCATGGAGGGTAAATAAAGCTGCATATTTACATACCACTTCTTCTCGAAAATCGGCATCATCATTTAGCTTCCCTTTGAAGTCTTCGTAGGCGTCCTTCGTGCATAGCGGCAAGCGCAGTGTTGTCGAAATTCCTCATGATGGACCGTCTGGTTATGGACTAAATTGTCTATTTTTTTAATAAACGAATCTAATCCAACGGCCTAGAGAACGTCCTTACCGCACAGATGTCAATTCCCTGTGTATTGATTTACATATGTCACTCTGCGCCACAGAAGCATCCTTTTCCATTTGCAGTCTGAAATGGATAATAAATATAACCTGCTAACTGAAGCGAGGGGACTACTAAAGGTGAAAGCCTGCCCCATCCGGCCGAGGAAGTAGGTACGTTTTCTTGGCCTACAAACCATCAGACTTACTGCTACCTACTGAAGTATGGGTGGTGGCGACGGCCAACCAGCTAGTCGCCTTACAGGCTGTCGTTCCACTATGTTCTCGTTATCGTCATCATCCTCCGAATCGGAGGTTAATCTGCGGACAAATCTACAAAGAATTTTTAATTGCAAGTCAAACCTACTTCCTTCTAAATCCTAGGCCCAACTTCGTGGGCTCCGAAAAGGAGAGGTCCAACGTGTCCTCGGCCCTATGTGCCAGCCGCCGGTCCGCATCCAGAGTCAGGTTGTCTTTTAGAATCCTGACAGGATATACTTTCGTCCCACTCGGCGGCGGCGGCGGCTCATTCGTTTCAAGAAGAATGTTTCGCCGTCTGTCATTCTTCAGCCACATGACGCAGCTCTTATCATAGAAGCACGCCTTGGCAACGGCTGCGACCGACTTGTGGTTGATGAACTCAACAACGGAGTACATCTCACACTTACATTTCACCTGTCATTTAGTGTCAGGGTTTGGAAAAGATAAATGGAAAAAAATCACTGTGCAGTAAATGTGTGTAAAAGGGGGATTAGGTAAAAATCGTCGTCAGATTGGAAGGCAACATATTTATAGACAATGACCGAAAGGGTAGCCATTGAAGGAATGTTTTCCAAAACCGATGCTTTAAACATGAACAACGTGGAAGATGAAGAAGATGTGGTAAATAAGTCTCTGCAATCCAAAAAAGGACGATACTCAATTCTGTTAGCCGAAACAGACGTCAGTACACACGGCCGGCCTGTTGCCAATCAGTACCACGTTATCCGGCGCTGTAGTCGATAAGGCGTATCCATTGTGTAAAATGGCACCGGAGTTACGGGGCATGTAAAAAGGCCGTGCTACTCCAGCATCGTCGTCTAGCAGCATTGAAGATGCTGGCAACTCAGGCAGGCGTCTTTCTATGAACCGCCTGTACACCTGAACGGCTATGTTTGTCGTTCCTTTTATGGTTTTGCGAACTGTTTGTAAAAAGGACTCGACGGCGAATGCTGAAAACCTGTCCAACATTCTAAAACGACTAACGTCTTCATGGAGGTGAAGGACGTAATGTATGTTATAGACAATGTCTGCTGGATTATACAATTGGGGAAAATCAGTAAGAAAATTGTTTAACATGAGACGGGCAGAATCAATACAGGATGTATGTAAAGTTGGATGGCACAATATGTAAATGGCAACGCTCAATAACAAAAGGTGGTCATAACGGTGGTATCGAGAACGGGGAGATAAAACGGTAGGGCCTATGTACAGTAAGAATTGCCGGTATTCAGCAGCCTTCCAATATTCGGGAGAGTCAAGAGATCTACACTTGCGAGAAAACTCCGCCGGCAAACACTGACTGCATCTCTCGATGGAGGCATTAAGTTGGGCAGATAACCTCGGTCCCAGTCGCCACAAGTGAATCAACCTCCGCATTACACCCAGACAGACTAGGTGCATGTAGTCGATTGGAAATGAGGCTACCATATCGATTGGTAAATCCTCAAAAGGTGACCTGCCCTTGTGGTACAGTGCCTGGGTTCGTAACCGAAATGACTTGTCGTCTCGCAACCGGACACTGTACGTGGGGAATGTCATGCGGTTGGCAACGGGGCGCCCAACATGACAACACCTACAGGGACTGCCGTTATCTGTGCGAAACAACATACCTGTCGCATCCGTAATAGCCATCATGCGCGCTTTCACTTGCCTGACTTGAGATCGAGCGGGCGTATCACAGATGACATTCTCTAGGGCTACCCTTATAAACTTCCCTGTCCATGGGAAACACAGGCCAGTAGCAAGTAATCCCTTCAGTTCCATTATACAGTGATTTAAGAAGTCGTCCAGGGGCTCTGGCTTACTAGATCCGGAAAAACGCCGACAACAAAGGGTTGTCTAACTACCGGATGGCTAATACGACTTAGTATTGGTCATAGGCATTGGTTGGACCCCTTAAAGACTTTAATTCCGTCGATGTGCACTTGAATACGTATGTCGGAAATACTTGTTCTCGAACGAAGACGAAGCTCATGAAGCAGACCGTCTGTGAGACCCAAGTGAACGTAGGTGCCGTAACTTAACGGCTTCTAATTGCACACTCGAGGCGTTAGCAATAGCGCTCGTGGGTCCTTAGGTACTTCCGGATGAAAAATAACTTCTTGGTATTAGACAAAGGCATTTGCACTTCCAGGGCGTATTCTCTCAAGGCCTCCAGAAAGAACTTGCCTCCAACTGCGTTTGTGTCGTCCATGTCCTCCACGGACTCTACACCCATTATTCGTTTACACACTCATAATACCTACCGACAGAAGTTTCCGAGTTCAGTATAAGCATTTCCCGTTCGGGGGATGGATTGCCAACTGCCGTCGACGTTGAGTAAACGTCCGGCTCAGGCTCTTCAGTGGCCTCATAATATGCCTTCATCTGGTGCTTAATGCGCTTGTATATGGTGATTGGGTGATGGCCACAGTAATTACGCTTCATAACTGCTTTGGGTGTTCAGTAGAAAACGATAAACAATTTGTATAAGTGGACTACGAACTCCAAGGCTAAATAGTATATACATAGACACACAAGTCAACTACATGAACAAACAAACAATTAGCATAGCATACATAAATTAACTAAGGCAGCTATCAAGAGCATGAAAACAGCATTGTTTGGCGCACGATATTACCCGCGACAAATTGTCAAATGTACGAAGTAGTAACACACAGCTCGGCTAAGCTGTCAACCGCTTGACAAATAAAATTTATACAATGAGCGACATAAACAAAACCTCAATATATTGAGCTCATCCGCAGCAACGTTCAGTGGGCGTAAACGGGTGATTTTCCATGATTTATATGCCGCTTTTGATAAATAGCTCCTTTTAATTCCAAAGAAGGTACAATGAGTGGTGCTTTTGAAACATAACCTTTGATGCAAATACGCTTCAAAATGCTTCAATCCAGAGGGGGCTCTGGCTCCACCCAGCCCCGCATATGAACGGGCCATGGCCCATGCATGTGCTGGCAGGCTAATGTGTATTTTTATCTTTAGCACTAGATTCAAGTATTAACCCCCGCCGATACTTTTGATTTTAATTGCCACACCACATAAGTCCTTAGTTGTTTGATAACACCACTGCTCGGTAAATAACAAACAACTAACATTGTCAGCGAATCCTCCACTCAAATGAAAGTGAAAACGTCACCGAAGAACCAATCTTAACAGCCACAAAATCGATCTGCAGCTTATAAACCAACTATGTAAATCGATTAGCGTGGAAAAATAGCCACGCATATGCATTCTATGCTTTGGTAGGCTAATTGGGGAAAAAATATTGTAGTATGGCTTCGCTGTAAGTAAAAAATTTCGATAACAGACAAGACAAGCTGTATATTGCTCTGTTTACAGTGTACGTCCGTTTCGGTAATCGATGCTTCTCGCACAACTGTCAGGAACAATAGTATAATAAATCCCATGCGAAGTAGTTAAACGCTTTATTCAGATTTTTAAAAAATATAAGGAGACTTTGGTAGTCCAGCTACTAATGTTCCAGCTGCCATGATTCTCTTAGTTACCGAACTAGACATGGGGCACATATCTCAGCTTCTGTTCTACGAGATGCCATTCAGACAGATTCTACGTTTGGCATCAATGTCAATCCAAGTGTTAAGAGAATAAACTTTGCCCGATGTATAGCGCTGGACGTTAACCTCAAAGGGGCCGATGGCTTCAGCCATAACGCTCAGGTTGCTCGAGTGTTGGCTGTTCTAAAAGCTCATCTTGCTCTCGTGAGTACGAATCCCAACGAAGGCCCCATTTTTTACAGTTGGATCCGAATGAACTCGAACAACATTTTAGTAGGTGTGGGGAACTGGGTTATTATAGAACTTCTGCTTGTATACGTAACTTAACGATAATAACAGTGTTAGTCTTTTACATTTTGGAAGCCCCTATGTGCTAAGTGTCAGGAGATTTGATGACTCAAACGCCTTTTTTCTGAAGAGTTTGCGTATTGGGAAACTCTTAATACAAGTGAGCATTTTCCCGGCTCGACCAAACATACAAAATGCCCAAAAATCAAGAGGCTACTCTAGATATCAATCATGTTGGTGCTGTTAATAATAACTGTCGTATATTATTTACCGTATAGTTTAAGGCTTAGGATTTCTCGTGATTAGATTTGTTAGACACGAAACTCCCTAAAATAGATTGTTTTTATTTGAGCTATAAGTACATTGTTAAGACGGGTTTTGGAGCATTTTTAGTCAGACGCAGCGCAAAGTTCACTGTGTGGTATGCAGCCACTTACGCGACTAATTGTCCATATGTTGGTCTCGAGAAAACTTTATGGGAGAGGATGGTATTTGGCAAGACGCTTAGGAGCGTCAGGCAGAAAAAGTCCGATTTAGGGGATTTATTATACTTTAAGCACAATAGTTTTCTCTCCATTTCATTGGTTTAATGTTGAAATTACCCTGATTGGTAACTACGGAGGTATGTGTTTGGTTGTCTACAAGCAATCTGAAATACACTGCTTGGGTGTGAATACACGGTCGCAGTTCAGTTTGTAAATGCCACTGCTTATTCTCGGCTGTTTACTCTTCTTTGGATAGTGCACTGAATTCAGTGTCTCATAGATGCATGTCATATTCTGATAATTTGCTATCAAATCTTCCCATTGGCGTTCTAGCGAGTCCTTGTAACTCTTCGACATCCAATTTCAATTATGCAATTTGTCCGTTGAGTTTGTCTCATGCCCTAAATGTGAACTTGTTCGATCTTCATAATAATAATCCATTTGATTTCGCGCATAATCCGCCAGCAAGAATACATAGACTGTGTACCCTTTTTGTGGATATTTAATCATCAATAGCTCTTGTGTTTCGTCCAGTGAGAACCCAATCCTATATGAGTTTCAGCAGTAAAGATCGGCGTCGACTTGAGAGTTCACGCAACTATGCGTGCCAAGTGTTGCCGCCAACCAAAGGCCATCTCTTCTGCGTTGGCTTATATGCACCTCAGATGCACACGAAGATATCGTTCGATTGCTGCACAAAGACTGGAGTTGTCGAAAAGAGACGGTTGGAAAGTATGGAATATGATTTACAGTTTACGGCTTCCAAACAACAAAGCTCAACGTGGTGGGGGGACGAAACGAACAGGATTTTATCCGTTATCTACCGTCTATCATGTCCGGACCGCCTCTTTGTCACGGCATCTGCTGTGGTCGGTCCACGAGCATGCAGTTCAGTTCAGTTTCATTGAGGATAATATAGACGAGCGCCTTTGAACTCCCTTTTTCTTACAAATCGTTCAAGACAAGCACTGATAAGTGGAAAGTTGAAAAAGGAATTTTGTACACAACTGCATATGAAAGCCAGGCAGCTGCCAGCTAGTCGAAAAATAGCGATCATTAAGGGTTACTTACTCACTGTATGTAGTATAGACACATGTTTGTTGGG